GGCAATATCTCAGCCTGAACTTTACCAGGTCAGGCAGTGCAGCGAAAAATCAAAAAACACAAATAAGAGAGAGAACACAAGCAATTTTTAACGTGAAAAAACCTTCTCCAATGAAGAAGTAAAAACTCACAGGACCTAGTCCAGATCAAAAATCCACTACGAAAAATAATGGTTACAAATAATCAGAATCATCCATGTGGTGGTTAACTCAACCTCTCAAACAATGGTGATAATCAAACCTCCCTAGAGATGTTTCACTCAAACTCTCTCTAGAGATCTCTCAAATACAAAGCATAAAGCTTTGCTATCAAATCTCAAACAATTTTTCTCTCAAATATCAAATCTCTCTCATCTTAACCTAGCCTCCACCCTCAACTAATGAATATATAGAGGAGGTGAGATATAGGGTTTAGGGTTTTTAGGAAACCCCTCAATGGGCTTGGGCTTAGCATTGAAGGAGGAAGCCCAACAAATCTCCCCCTCCGACTTCAATGCGTCGGCTTCAGCATCAACCCGGCTCCTTCACAGCAGTCTTCAAATTTTCTTGTTGGAACCGGCTTCGTGATTATGTCGGACCAATTTTGGTCAATGTGCACTTTGACGAGTTCGAGCTCTCCACCTTCCACAACATCTCGGATCTAGTGATACCTCACATCAATATGCTTAGTGCGGGAGTGATAGGTTGAATTCTTCGCAAGATGGATTGCGCTTTGATTGTCACAACTTAGCTCGTACTTGTCTTGATCATGGCCGAGTTCGATGAGAAACTTCTTCATCCACAACATCTCTTTGCTTGCCTCAGTAGCAGCAATGTACTCAGCCTCGGTTGTCGATAGTGCAACATACTTCTAAAGTCTTGATTGCCAAGAGACAGCTCCTCCGGCAAATCTCATCATGTATCCCGTCGTCGATTTCCTCGAGTCGGAATCTCCCCCTGAATCAGAATCCGAGTAGCCTTGCAACTCGGCTTTTCGTTCTCTAAATCGGAGGCATAGATTGGTCGTACCTCGGAGGTACTTGAAGATCCACTTCACTGCTTCCCAGTGTTCTTTGCCGGGGTTTGACAGATACCAGCTTACCATTCCAACAGCATACGCCAAGTCGGGTCTTGTGCAAACCATTGCATACATCAAGCTTCCGACGGCGGATTGGTACGGGACCTTCATCATCTCATCTTTGTCTTCATCAGATCTCGGACATTGCTTCTGGTTCAACCTTATGTGTCCGGCGAAGGGGGTGCTCACTGTTTTAGCTTTGTCCATGCTGAATCTCTTCAGAATCTTCTCAATATACTTCTCTTGACTCAGCCACAGTAGCTTCTTTTGTCTATCTCGGATGATCTTGATTCCGAGAATCTGCTTTGCAGGGCCGAGGTCCTTCATTGCGAAGGACAAGCTCAACGCCTTTTTCAGGGCGGATATCCTCGATTTGTCTTTCCCTACAATAAGCATGTCGTCAACATATAACAACAATATCAGAAAATCTTCGGCCTCATACCTCTTCACAAATACGCAGTGGTCGGCTTCTGTCTTCTCAAACTTATGATCAGTCATGAATGATTCAAACTTCTTGTACCACTGTCGAGGTGCTTGCTTCAAGCCATAGAGGCTTTTCTTCAACCGACATACCAAGTCTTCTTGGTCTGGAGCTCGAAACCCTTCAGGTTGCTCCATATTTATTTCTTCTTCTAAATCACCGTGAAGAAATGTTGTCTTCACATCCATTTGTTCTACCTCGAGGTCCATCGAAGCCGACATGGCTAACACGGTTCGGACTGAGGTCATTTTCACAACAGGAGAAAAAATCTCCTCAAAGTCTACTCCTTTCTTCTGAGTGCAGCCTTTCACTACAATCCGGGCTTTGTATCTCGGCTTCTGCCCATTCTCTTTATTCTTAATCTTGTAGACCCATTTGTTTTTCAGAGCTCGTCTTCCTTCAGGCAACTCGGTCAGCTCATAAGTCTGATTCTCTTGCAGAGACTTCATCTCGTCTTGCATTGCCTTTTCCCATTCTTCTTTCTCTGAGCTCGTTACAGCCTCATCATAACTCTGAGGCTCACCGTCTTCAGCAACAACAATGTATTCATCAGATGGGTATCTTGTAGAGGGTCTTCTTTCTCGAGTTGGATATCCCGGCTGTTCTTCAGCTTGAGAACCCGGTTCATCATTCTCATACCGGATCTCAACATCAACTCGGACCTCAGTGTCTTGGTCGTCTTCAGCTGTTGCTGTTCATTATTGTCTTCATTTTCTTGATTTTCTCCCCCTGCTTCTGCTCGGACAAGAGGGATAGGTTCTTCACATCTGACAGTAACCTGGACTTTGGGCTTCGAGATGTCATGAATGTTCTTATCTTCATGAAAGATCACATCTCGGCTTCTCACTATCTTCTTATTAATTGGATCCCAAAGTCGGAACCCGAACTCACATCTCGGCGAACCAAGATAGATGCATTATTTTGTCTTCGTATCGAGTTTTGCCCTTTCATCTTTAGGGATGTGCACGAAAGCTCGGCATCCAAACACCTTCAGTTGATTATAGGCTGCTTTTCGACCTGTCCAGACTTCTTATGGAATTTCTCCTTCAAGTGGCCATGATGGTGAGAGGTTGATCAAGTCAACAACAATTTTGACGACTTCTCCCCAGAATGATTTCGGTAATCCGGCATTGGATAACATGCTTCGTACCTTCTGTTCATCCTCTCAGCCAGTCCATTCAATTGTGGAGTCTTGGGGGACGTCTTCTCAAGTCTGATCCCGGCCGCTCTGCAGTATGCATCAAAAGGGCCGCAATACTCACCACCATTATCAGATCGGACCACCTTCAGTTTCTTGTCAGTCTGCCTTTCAACCATTGCATGGAATTCTTTAAAAGATTGGAGTACCTGGTCTTTAGACTTCAACAAATATACCCACACTTTGCGGGAATGGTCATCAATAAATGAAACAAAGTACTGAGCTCCTCCAAGGGATCTTTTCGACATGGAGCAAACATCAGTATGGACGAGGTCAAGAATATACCTGCATCGTCTAGGTTGATCAGGTCTCACAAAAGAAACCCGGTGCTGCTTTCCAGCTAGGTAGTGTGTGCAACTATCCAACGCTTGGCCTTTCAACCCGGTCAGTAATCCTTTCTTGTTTAGGATTTGAAGTCCTTTCTCGCTCATGTGGCCGAGGCGCTTGTGCCATAGCTCCAAGCTAGGTTCATCTTGGACAGAATTGGCTTCTCCGCCATTGATCTTTCCTTGCATCACGTACAAGGAGCCTTCATTCTTACCTCGGGCCATGACCAAGTTTCCCTTGGCCAGCTTCCATCTAACACTACCGAAGTAGTTCACTAACCCGGCATCATCAAGCTTCCCTACCGAGATTAGGTTCAATCGCATGTCAGGAACATGTCTCACATCTTTCAACACAGGTCGGCACCCGACATCTGTGGTCAGAGTTACATCACCAACACCAACAATCTTGCTGGTCACCTGATTTCCCATCTTCACGACTCCAAAATCACCACCTCGATAAGAGGAGAAAAAACCTTTGTGTGGAGTAACGTGGAAGGAGGCACCAGAGTCAACAATCCAGGTGTAGTCATTATATGCAACATTCAAATAATTATCCTCACATAGGAGGAATATCTCGGCATTCGAGTTGGCAGCCACCGCAGTGGTGCTCTTGTCTTCCCTATTCTTGGGAATAATCTGATCCGACTTTACAGAGTCGTTCTTCTCATCATTCTGCAGGGTCCAGCAGTCTGGCTTCTTATGACATGTCTTTCCACAGTAAAATCACTTCAACTTATATCTCGGCTTTGACCGACCTTTGGACTTTTCTCGCCTGGAGTCGGATTTCCCTCTATTCTCTGCAACGTTGGCCTCAGACGTGCTCGAAATACCTCGTTCTCTTCTCTTGGCTTCTTCGCCCAAAAGGCTGTCTGTCACGACATCCATCTTTAATTTTTCATCTGGAGTCGAATTATTCAAGGTCACCACCAGAGTATCCCAACTTTCTGGCAGCGAGCTCAATAGCAACAAGGCCTGCATCTCGTCATCAATTTTCATATCAGCCTTTAACAGCTGATTCACAATACCTTTGTAGGTGTTGAGGTGTTCAATCATGCTCATGCCATCCTTGTATTCCAACTTCACAAGTCGGCGAACCAGGTGTGCTTTGTTCCTGGGAGTCTTCTTCTGAATCATGGACTCTAGCTTCGTCCACAACTCATACGCGTTCGTGAACTCGGACACGTGCTCAAAGAGGCTTTTGACAATATATTTTCTGATCGTAGCTACCGCCTTACGACTCTGGATCTCCCACTCCTTATCGATCTTGCCTGCCGGTCTCTCATCAAGGATAATGGGCTCATGTAGATCTTTGCAGTAGAGATGATCTTCCATCATCGGTCTCCAATACATAAAATTGTCTGCGGTCAGCTTGAACATGTCTCCATCAGCTTGAAATTATCTGTTCCTTTATTGTGTTAGTTGATATTGCTGTAATTCCTTGAATGTTGGTAGCTTGAATTTTAGTTTGTTAATATTCTATTTTTTTGTTATGTTCTATATAGTTGTTTTGTCATTTAATTTTCTAGTCAATTGTTTCATAGCTATTACTTTGTTTTTCAATTTCTTGGTGTCAATCTGTTATTTTTATTGTTAGCTTTATTCCTTGAGTTGTATTTTTTTTACTGTTTTGCAATTCTGTTTTCTGAGATACTGTTCTGTTTTATTCTGGTTAATATACTTACTGTATTCCTGAGTTAGCTGTAATTTTAAATTTTGTACCTGTGTGTTTTTAATTTTTTTTAGAGTACTGATAAGAATCTTGGTTGTTTTAAGCTAGTCAGGTTATTATTATTATTATTAGTTTTTAGTTCAAAGGGTGCATGAGTGCAACTCCACTCCCTTTCTTAGAAGCTTTTGACCTTGAACCTGAAAGGACCTCTAGACTTAAAAGAAGAACCTAGAGAGCTAATAGTCAGATTCCAAATCCAGATTTTGGAGAAATGGAAAATGTAGGTCATGGAAATAGAAATGAAAGAGGACCTGAGAGGATAGAGAACCAACCAATAGATGACAATGATAGGTCTATGATAGACTTTATTATACCTGTTTTGGATGAGTTGGACCCAAGTATTGCCCAGCCTGTTAATGGAGTACCCTTTAAGTTAGAACCTGTGATGTTCACAATGCTCCAAAATATGGGGCAGTTCCATGGTCTGTTGATGGAAGACCCACATAAGCACCTTAGGAATTTCATAGAAGTGGCTAACACTTTTAGGAATCCCAATATCTCATATGATGTGCTGAGATTGAAGCTTTTCCCCCACTCACTGGATGACAAAGCCAAAGAGTGGTTGAACTCCTTTCCATCCAACTCCATAACCAATTGGCATATATTGGCTGAAAAATTCATTATGAAATTTTTCCCTGCAAACTAGATGTGACATCACCAACTTCATGCAGAAGGATGGTGAGACCCTAGTGGATGTGTGGGAGAGGTTTAAGCTCCTTCTTAAGCAATGTCCCAACAATGGCTTGCCATCTTGGGCAGTGCTACAAACCCTTTACAACAGCCTTAACACTCAAAATAGAGCCTTAGCAAATTCTGCTGCTAATGGCATGTTTATGTCCATGTCCTTTAATCAAGCCCATGAGTTGTTGGAGCAAATGACTCAAAATTATGCCCAACGGCCTGAAGAGAGAAATTAGTCAAGGAGAGTGCCTGGTTTGCATGAGGTAGATTCTGTAACAGCCCTTTCAGCCAAGTTTGATGCACTATCCACATTAGTGAAAAACCAAGGACAAGCCATTGAGGCAAGATTGTCTCAGCCTCAAGTTCCAATACCTCAACCTCAAGTTCTAGTACCCCAACCTCAAGTCAATGTAGTGAACACAAGTGAAACTTGTGTTTTATGTGGTGTCCCTCATTTGTTTGATAGCTACCCATCCAACCCTGAGTCTGACTACTATGTAGGAAACCCCAATAGGAACCAGAATAATTTTTCCAACAATTTTAATCAAGGTTGGAGGCAGAACCAACAGCCCCAATATTTTCAAGGGCAAGGGCAGCAAGCTGGACCCTCTAATGCCCAAACCAGGCCACCTTTTCCCCCTCAAAATTTCCAACAACTTCCAAGGCAGCAAACAGTTGCCCAATCTTCAGTCCCATTTACTCAAAACCAAGCTAGTGAGATGACTTCCTCTTCAACCTCTTCCTTAGAGGCTTTGTTGAGAGAGAATTTGGTCAAAAATGAAACCAACCAAAACAGCTTGGAGGCTGTAGTGCAGAGCATTCCTGAATCTTTGAGGAATTTAGAATCCCAACTAGGCCATTTAGCAAATGCTTTGAATAGCAGACCCCCAGGTACTTTTCCTAGTAACACTGAAGAGCCTAGGAGAAATAATGAGCAATGTCACATGATAGAGCATAGGAATGGCAGATCTGTGAATCAGCCAGAAGATGTGGTTAGACCTTCCATATTAAAAAAAAAAAAAAAGAAGAAAAAGTGCAGCAAGAAAAAGATTTAAATTCTGAACCTGTTCAGCCACTTAGAGTCCATGACAGCCACTAAGGGGCTGAGAATAGTGATCCTTTGACTGTTTTGGGTGAACCATAAATTCAAACCCTAGTAGACCCACCTTCAGGGACTATTCCCATGGAAAAATCCATTCCAAAGGGTCAAGCATCTAAGCCAAGTGTTGAGACACCTGCTGCCTCAAACAGACCTCCACCACCCTTTCCCCAAAGGTTGCAAAAACAGAAGCAAGATAATCAGTTTAGGAAATTTCTAGACCTCCTAAAACAGTTGCATGTCAACATTCCATTAGTGGATGCATTAGAACAAATGCACACTTATGTGAAATTCATGAAAGAAATTCTTTCAAGAAAAAGGAGGCTAGAAAAGTTAGAGACTGTTGCTCTTACAGAAGAGAGCAGTCAATATTTGCTTAGCAAGTTATCTCGCAAGTTAGGAGATCCAGGAAGTTTTACAATCCCTTGCACCATTGGAGACCATTACATAAGCAGAGCATTGTGTGATTTAGGTGCTAGTATAAATTTAATGCCTATTAGTGTGTTCAAAAAGCTGAAAGTAGGAGAGCCTAATCCTACCACTATAACTTTACAGTTGGCTGATAGGTCCCTAGTTTATCCTGAAGGGAATGTAGAAAATGTCTTGGTAAAGGCAGATAAATTTATTCTACCTGCTGATTTTATTATTTTGGACTATGAGGAAGAACGAGAGGTACCAATAATATTAGGAAGGGCTTTCTTATCCATTGGTGGGGCTGTGATAGATGTTAAAGAGGGTGAGTTGGCAATGAATGTGAATGGTGAGCAAGTGAAATTCAATATTTTGAAAGCCATGAAATACCCAAGGGATATAGAGGAATGTTCTAGGCTAGATATCATTGATTGTGTGGTCAAAGATAAATTTTTGCATGAAACTGCATTAGACTCTTTTGAAATTTCTGGTTATGAGGCTAGAGAAATGAGTCAAACTGATTCAGAAGAAGTTATGAAATGGTTAAATTCCAGATCTGAGTTGGTGTGGAAAAATAAAAATTTTGAGTCATTAGAGTTGACAAAGAGAGGGTTAAAAATTTCCAAACCCTCAATTGAAGAGTCTCTTATCTTATAGCTCAAGCCTCTGCCTAAACAACTTAGGTATGCTTATTTAGGAGAAAAAGACATTTTTCCTGTCATTGTATCCAATCTGCTCACTGTTTTAGAAGAAGAGCAACTGTTGGCTGTTCTAAAAAAGTTTAAGAGGGCTATAGGTTGGTCTTTGGCAGATATAAAAGGTATTAGCCCCTCTTATTGAATGCATAAAATCCTTTTGACAGACCCAAACAGTAACTCTAGGGAGCAACAACGGAGACTTAACCCAATTATGAAGGAGGTAGTTAAAAAGGAATTTATTAAGTGGCTGGATGCTGGGGTAATTTACCCTATTTCTGACAGTAACTGGGTCAGCCCAGTGCAGTGTGTCCCTAAAAAAGGTGGGATCACTGTTGTAGAAAATGAGAAGAAAGAGTTGATACTCACTAGGGACTGTCACTAGTTGGAGGATCTGTATGGATTACAGAAAACTCAACAAAGCCACTAGGAAGGACCATTTTCCCTTACCTTTTATAGACCAGATGTTGGACAGATTGTCTAGTAGGGAGTTTTACTATTTTTTAGATGGCTATTCAGGTTATAATCAAATAGCCTTAGCCCCTGAAGACCAGCCAAAGACCACTTTTACTTGTCCTTATGACATTTTTGCCTTTAGTAGAATGCCCTTTGGGTTGTGCAATGCACCAGTCACCTTTCAAAGGTGCATGATGGCTATTTTCACTGATATGATAGAACAATTCGTGGAAGTCTTCATGGAAGACTTCAGTGTTTTTGGAGACTCTTATAAAGAGTGCTAAGAAAATTTGGGAAGAGTGCTAGAGAGATGTGAGGAGACGAATCTGGTTTTGAATTGGGAGAAGTGTCACTTTATGATGAGGGAAGGCATTGTGCTAGGACATAAGATCTCTAAGGCTGGTTTAGAGGTTGATAAGGCCAAGATAGATCAGATTGAGAAACTGCCACCCCCTGTTAACATAAAGGGAATTAGATCCTCCCTTGGGCAAGCTGGTTTTTATAGGAGGTTCATAAAAGATTTTTCAAAAATTTATAAATCTTTTAGTCATTTACTTGAAACCAACACCCGATTTCAGTTTGATTAGGCTTGTCTTAGAGCCTTTGAGGAGTTAAAACAGAAACTGATTTCTGCTCCAATAATAATAGCCCCTGACTGGTCACTGCCCTTTAAGTTAATGTGTGATGCAAGTGATTTGGCAGTGGGGGCTGTGTTAGGACAAAGAAAAAATAGAGTTTTTCACTCTATTTACTATGCTAGCAGGACCTTAGATGGAGCACAATTAAACTACACAGTGACTGAAAAGGAACTGTTGGCTGTTGTGTTTTCCTTTGACAAATTTAGATCATATTTGGTAGGCACTAAGGTCATTGTGTATACTGACCATTCAACCATTAAATATTTAGTGGAAAAGAAAGATTCAAAGCCTAGGCTAATTAGGTGGGTCCTTCTCCTTCAAGAGTTTGATATGGAGATTAAAGATAGGAAAGGATCTGAAAATCAAATGGCTGATCACTTATCTAGGCTGAATGAAGGGCAGCAAGGTAAAAGGGTAGTTGAACAACCCATTAGACAAACTTTTCCTGATAAGAAACTATGTTTGGTTGCCACTAGCACAACCCCATGGTATGCTGACATAGCTAATTATTTAGTTTGTGGGGTGCTGCCTAAGGAGTTAAGTTATCAACAAAGGAAAAAGTTGATACATGACAGTAGATTTTTCCCCTCGGTATGAGCCTTACATGTTTAAGAAATGTGCTGACTAGATCATTAGGAGATGTATTTTAGAGGAAGAAAAAGAGGGAATTCTTAGACAATGTCATGACTCACCATATGGTGGCATGAGGACAGCAGCAAAGGTGCTGCAATCTGGTCTTTATTGGCCAACTTTGTTTAAGGATACCAATGCCTATGTTCACAAGTGTGATAGGTACCGAAGACTTGGCAATATTTCTGCAAGGCATGAAATGCCTTTGAAACCTATTCTAGAGGTTGAACTTTTTGATGTATGGGGCATAGACTTTATGGGCCTATTTCGCTCTCCTTTGGAAATCATTATATATTGGTTGCAGTAGATTATGTTTCCAAATGGGTGGAGGCTGTTGTCTTACCCACAAATGATTCAAAGGTGGTAATTAAATTGTTGAAAAAGAATATTTTTACCAGATTTGGGACCCCAAGAGCCATTATAAGTGATGGAGGTAAACACTTTGCTAGCAAGCAATTTGAAGCTCTTTTAGCTAAATATGGGGTTAAGCACAAAGTGGCTACTGCCTACCACCCAAAAACCAGTGGGAAAGTAGAGGTTACAAATAGAGAAGTCAAAAGGATCTTAGAGAAAGTGGTGAATCCTTCAAGGAAGGATTGGTCCCTTACGTTAGATGATTCTCTATGGGCCTACAGGACAACATATAGGACCCCTTAGGATGTTCCTCATACAAGTTAGTCTTTGGAAAGAGCTGCCACTTGCCTTTAGGATTAGAATACAAAGCATATTGGGCTACTCAACAGTTGAATGTGGATGATGTTGTTTCAGGTGAAAATAGGCTGCTCCAACTCAATGAGTTGGGTGAATTTAGACTTAATGCCTGTGAGAATGCCAAGTTGTATAAAGAAAAAAATGAAAAGATGGCACGATAGACAAATTTTAGAGAGGAAATTTGAAGTGGGAGAGCAGGTTTTACTTTTTAACTCTAGATTAAAAAAATTTCCTGGAAAATTGAAATCTAGATGGTCTGGTCCTTTCAAAGTTACTAAGTACATCTTCATGGGGCTGAAGAAATTATCAGTGAAAAAGATGGGAGAAAATTCACTATGAATGGCCAAAGATTGAAACATTATTTTGGAGAGTCAATAGAGAGAGCAAACATTTCCATCTCTCTCTGTGACCACTCTACTTTGTAAAAACACAATGACAAAAGTCTAGCTTAAGACTTTAAATAAAGCATGTTTTGTTTATGATGTTATTTGCTGTTCTGACTTTGTTAATAATTTTAAATATTTGTTAGTTTAAATTCTGTTGTGTTTTTTTTTAAAAAAAAAACACAGCATCTGATACTGACACTTTTGTCTCTCTTGTTACAGGTGTTAAGTGCAACCTTTGCTGACTTCTAGCATAGGAGCAGGTTCAAGTTTGGGGGAGAATTCAAAAAGTTGTTAATCTGGTGCTATATTTTTTTATTTGCTGTTTTTAGTTTTTAGTCTATTTTATCTGCTGTTTTTATTCTCTGCTCTTTATTTTTAGTTTATTTTTATAGTGTGTTGTAAGTGTCATTCATCCTCATGGTTAGAAAAGGTATCTTGCGAAGTGGAGGACCACATGGTCCAAAACTCAATCCTAAAACCCCTAATCCTGAGAGCTATTCCTAATCTTCTTTTACCTCTGAAAAATCTGGAGAGAGGTATGAAAAAATCATGACAGCAAGAGACCCGACACATGACAAAGGAATTGAGGAACACACCTCATATCCTGAGTATGTCTATGAGGTAGTGAGAGCCCAACATTGGGAAAATTCTACCTCCACCCTAAAGAGGATGCCAATATCAGTGTGGTGAGATAATTTTACTCAAAGATTTTAGACAGAAATCAAACTGAGGTAGTGTGTAGGGGTGTCAGTATCTCATTTAGTCCCAAAGCCATTAGGGAATTCTTTTCCCTACCCAAGAACTCTAAGGATGAGTTCGAAAAGTTTCAAAAGAAAAATGATCATGAATTCATGCTGGAAGTGTTAAGTGTCATAGCTGTTCCTGGTGCTCAATGGGAAATACATGATAAGAATTACACTTTGCAGAAAACTTTTCTGAATGAAAAAGCACAAGTCTGGTATCATTTTCTCAGAGCTAGACTGCTTCCCACCACACATGTGCATCTAGTGATTAGAGAGAAAGCTGTTTTATTATGGTGTTTGTTGGTTGGCAAGCCAGTGGATGCTGCCAAGTTGGTATCTAAGGGGATATGGGCTTGTGCTAGCTGGGATAAAGGCAAGCTCAAGTTCCCTAGCTTTATATCACAGTTGTGTAAGTCTAAAAGTGTGTCAGCAAATTCTGCTGATGAGTTCTATCATGTAAAGGAGGCCATCACTATCTCCATTATCAATAAACTTAAAAAGGGCATTGTTAAACCTCTGCCTGAAAGTGAAAAATTAAAAAGAGTAGTTGATGAGAAGAAGACTCAGTCTTCTAATCAAGAAAAAAGGGCAAATTTGTTCAATATGGTGAGAGTAGTAGAAAACAGGAAATAGAAAATATAAGGAAACATGTTGAGCAGATGGATGCTCCTGCATTAGACCACTTTCCCCCTGGCTGGTTGCATAATGATTTGACACACATTTACCTGATACTCTCACAAATGCAAGATCACAATAAAAAGCATGATTTGTTGTTTCTTATGACATATGATCAGTTTTACTCCTTCATGTATGATCAGGTAAGATTAAATGATTACATTGCAGAGAGAGATAGGATTTTGAATGATTTTTTGAAAAGAACTTTTGTCAATTTTCCTGGTTTACCTCCATTTTCTCAAAACTTAACTTGGCCACATGTTTCAGTTTTTACTGACCCACAGGTTGAGAAATTTCTAGCAAAAGCAGCAGGTCCTCCTCCTCCTCATCCTACCAAGAAGGAGGATACACCATCCTGTTCAAGAAAGAGAGGAAGACCGAGCTCAAAAGCTGTAATGGAGGAAGACATTGAGCAGGAGGTTGAGGATGAAGTGGAGTGTTCAAAATCTGAGTCTGACGACATTGATAAATCTGAGTCTGGGGGCTCAGATTATGAGGAAGAATAGGCCAGAAGCTCTTCGGAGAAGCTCTTCTGGCCTTAGGTTACCATGTTCTTAAATTCTGTCCATATTTTCTGGTAATCTGGTCAAGCCACAGTGAGGACACTATTCCTCTTAAGTTTGGGGGTGAATGAATGCATGAAATTTGCTATTTTTATTTGCTGTTTAGATGCATTTTGAATAGTTGTTATTTTGCTGTTTTGTTGAGTTTAGTTTTTGTCCTTTTTGTTTGCTGTTTTGTTGACTTGGAGTTTGAGTCTTGGAGTGAATAGAAGGTTGTATGGTGTTTAGTAGTAAGTGGTCTATGTCATAATTAGGCAGCCAAAAGTTTGAAAAAAAAAAAGAAAAAAAAGAAAGAAAGAAAGGAACTCAAGATAGCTGTGTGAATGTAGAGTGACATGAGTGGATTAATGGTTGAGTGATAATGACAATGAGAGTTTGAGAATTGAATTGATTGATGCAGAATGTGAGTGGAAACAATAGGCATGTGAGATGGTGACTAGACCCAACACAGTGAGTCATTGAGCCTATGCAGGCAAATGTTTTTTGATGAGAGGTCTTCACTGGGGTAGTGAGACAGAACTTGCTCTGATGCTCAGTTGAGGAAGTGTTGCTGTTGCTTAAGTTTAAAAGGATGAGGGCAATTTTCTTTTGTTTTGTTTAACCACCTTCAAACCAAAATGCCATCGTTAGATCATCAGTCATTGAAAACCCAATTTTGAGCCTTTAGCCTTCTCCTTTCACATACCCACATTTCACCCTTCCCCTCAATCTACCACACCTCTTAGTTATGATGGAGATGGAAAAAGAAGCAAGATGTTGTTGGCTATAATATGAAGTGAAAGTAAGAAACTGCGAATAAAAGGAAAAGTTTGGTTTCATAAAATAAATAAATAAAAGAGAAGGAAGAAAAAGATTTGGCAAATATACTTTGAGGGTTTGATAAAGCTTGAATGTAAAAAATTTGGCTCTTGAGAAAGTTGTCATAAAAAGAAAAAAAA